TTGGCTTTAATAGATAACTGCTACTAGTTATGGCTGGAGACGGCTTGAGTGGGTGCCCGATGATGACAAAACCTTGTCGAAACGTTGTACATTTGCTGTTATGTTAAACTTATATTAAAGTTTTTCTTCATTACCCACTCAAGCCGTCTCCAGCCATTATTATGCTACTAGTTGTTTCTACAGAGGGACGACGGTTTTAGTTTCTGTTGCAGTCATTGAAACTGTCGATAAAATAAGACAATTCGCCCGATCAGTCAGTGTAATATTTGTGAACTGTTCATTAAAAAGCGCTTAGTGTTCGTGTTTAGCTTCTAACGTCTTATTTATTTGTTTTTAATTATGCACAAAGCTACACAAGGGCTATCTGTGCTCTGCCCACCACGGGTATCGAAACCCGGATTCTAGCGTTGTAAGTCCGCAGACATACCGCTGTGCCACTGGGGGGGCTCTCCAGAACAGAAGAGCGATTTGGAGATTTCAGGAATAATCGGGCGTGTAGCAACACGGTTGCCATGGGAACGTGACAAACGTTCGCGCGTGAATTGCAAAAAAAAAACACGAAGAAATGCAGAGTTGGATAATGGGTCATTTGAGATCTGTCTGTTGAAGGGATCGAACCCCGTATTTAAGCTTTATAAAACCCTCACGAGCCCTTACTGTAAGGGGTGGCGTTAACAAAACACCTCGAATTAGGAGTCTTGAAAGGAGTGCTTGTTTTAAGTGCACGTGCCCGTATAACTGTACTATATCGTTATACATAAAATGGCTCACTTCCGAAGAGAGCTTTCTTTCATCATTCACACAACTCTCAACTTCCCCTTCATCTCCCGAAGGCCAACCTCCCGGACTCCTCCCATTCTCCAGAACAGTTTTTTTTTTAAGCTACGTAATGGGCTATCTGTTCTCTGCTCACCCGCAGGGTTTTTAGAGTTACAAGCCCACGGCTATTACGACTAAAACAGTCTAACAATGACACGGCTATTACGACTAAAACAGTCCAACAATGACACGGCTATTACGACTAAAACAGTCCAACAATGACACGGCTATTACGACTAAAACAGTCTAACAATGACACGGCTATTACGACTAAAACAGTCCAACAATGACACGGCTATTACGACTAAAATAGTCTAACAATGACACGGCTATTACGACTCAAACAGTCCAACAATGACATGGCTATTACGACTAAAACAGTCTAACAATGACACGGCTATTACGACTAAAACAGTCCAACAATGACACGGCTATTACGACTAAAACAGTCTAAC